TTGTGTGTGGGTGGGGGGGTGGGTGTGTGTGGGTGTGTTGGTATGTGGGTGTGTGGGTGTGCGGGTCTGTGTAGGTCCATCGCCAGCCCAGTGGCTCTGCCTAGCCACCGACGAAACAAAGTGTGTAGGTGTGGATGTTGCGTGTGGTCTGTGCTGTGTGTTGTGTGTTGTGTGTTGCGTGTTGCGTGTTGTGTGTTGTGTGCCTGTGTCTACATCTGTCTGTGTCTGTGTCTATTTTCCTCCTGAACGTCCTCAACTCAGAAGTCACCCATGTACCTCCGTTCTTCGGGATGTGCGAGAAGAGCGGCTTGGCGTCCGCGGGGGACAGGGGCGGCGTCGGCGGTACCAGCAGCGACAGCGCCTTCCCGGTCGCCGTCCCGGGTTGAGGCCCGACAAGGCCGCGCGCGGCCCCCAGGAGACATAATACAAGAAAAGCGTGAATAAATTCGCCGGCCCAACGGGCCAGAGGCGTGCTAGGATCTCCGGTAACAAGTTAACCAACATTCTAGTTCGCGCGCGCGTGGCGACCCCTGGGGGTCCCAGAGAGAAAAGTACCCCGGGCAACTCCCGGCAAGTCTGGCCCAGAGATGCCGGATCTCTTGGGAGCGGGCCTGGGGGCCTTTTGGAACCGTCCAGGAGCGGCCCAATGAGTCGACAAATAGGTGTCTGGTTTTTGTAGGTTTTCAGCCTTCTCGCCTTTTCGGCTTTCCGACGCTCCAAGAGGGCCCACGAGACCTCCAAGACCGCCCCGACACAGCCCAAGAGGCTCCCACGATGGCCCAATGATGGCCCAAAACGGCTGCTAGACGGCACATGAGGCGGCCACGCGGGCCCAAGAACGCCCCGAGACAGCCCAAGAGCGGCCGGAGACGCCCAAAAATTGCCCCAAGCCGCCCAAGATGGCCCCAGGACGGCCCGAGAGGCCGCCAAGACTACCGAAGAGTCTTCCACGAGGCCTCCCAAGAGGTCCCCACGAGGCATAAATAAGTGATGTTCCTTGGCTTTGGGAGGTTTTCAGCCTTTTCGGCTTTCTGGCGCTCCAAGAAGGCCCAATGGGCCTGCAAAGCCCACCCCAACACAGCCCAAGAGGCTCCCAACATGGCCCCACGATGGCCCAAATCGGCTCCAAGACGATCCAAGAGCCAAAGAACGCCCCGAGACGGCCCCAAGAGAGGCTGGAGACGCCCAAAAATCAGCCCGAGCCGCCCAAGATTGCCGCAAGACGGCCCAAGAGGCCGCCAAGACGGCCGAAGAGGCTTCCAAGAGGCCTCCCAAGAAGTCCCACGAGGCACCATAGGTTTTTCAAGGTTTTCAGCCTTCTCGCCTTTTCGGCTTTCCGACGCTCCAAGATGGCCCCGCAGGCCCCAAACACCGCCCCAAGACCGCCCCAAGACGGCCCGAGAGGCCCCCACGAGGGCCCCCGTTCGGTTCAAGACGGTCCCAAAACGGCCCCAGAGGCGCCCAAGCCAAAGAGGGCCTCAAGACGGCCCCAAGAGGGGCCCAAGAGGGGGAACACGAACCACCAATTCGAGCCTTCCGCCCCAAGAGGCCCCCAGGAGGCCCCAAGAGGCACCCAAGAGAGCCCAGGTGAACCCCAAGAGGCCCCCTGGAGGCCCCAAGCAGCCCAAAAGATGCTCCAGGAGGCCCTCAAACGGCCACCAAGAGGCCCCAAGAGGCCACGAACGCGCAGGCAAACGCCTGCGCGGTGGCACAATACGGGCCGGCGGAGTGAGCGAAGCGTTTTTCATGACATGTACTGGGCGCCCCGTAGGGCCTGTGGCGGCTGCAGGAACTCCACTTCGCCCGCGGCCTGCGAGAGCGTGTGCGCCACACTTCGCCTGCGGCCCAAGGACACAAGGTGCTGGGGCGGACCACGACGGCCTGAGCCAGAAAGGCCAGCACGGATGGGAGAGCCGCTATCTGGGTCGGAATTCAAAGATGGCAAGCCAGCGCGACGCATTCCGTCGCCGCCGGTCCAACTCTGAAGGGCATGAGTTTACTCCCGCTGGCCTCTCCTTGGACGCTCGCTCGCCTCTACAAGTTCGCCGCCCTCCGACAGGCTCCCTCTAGCGGAGCCGCCCATGCTCTGGGAGGAGGAGGAGGAAGAGGAGGAGGAGGAGGAGGAGGAGGAGGAGGAGGAGGAGGAGGAGGAGGAGGAGGAGGAGGAGTGGAGGAGAAGGAGGAGGAGGAGGAGGAAGAGGAGGAGGAGGAGGAGGAGGAGGAGGAGGAGGAGGAAGGGGGGGGGGGACCGGCTCTGGACCGGCTAAACACCGATACCGCTGCTCCACGGACCTCTCCGGGGGTGCGTTCGGACCACAACTTCGAGGAGAATCCGGCCGCGGCGACGAGGGCTCTCCAAAACGAGCCCGAGGTTCTGCTCGCACCGGCCTCCGCGGGCGGCCTCCCAGCTTCCCACAGGCACCCGCCCAGCATCAAGGATCGGGAGACCCCGTGGCAAGTGACGGGCGCACGAGAGCGGGCGCTGCGATGGCACCTACCGGGCGCCGCGCCGGGCTGCGGCTGCAGCTGCGGCGCTGGCACCAGGCACCAGGCTGGGACTGGGGCCCGAGACAGGCGGCAGAAGCTAGAGCGCCTGCTGCCACGAGCAGCCGCGGGCCCTCTGCCAGCTCCCGCCTGAGGGCGAGAGCTCGACCTGCAACACACGATCCTGGGAGCCTTGCGTAATCACCCGAATGGCCGCAGGGGCTCCCCCAGTGGCCACCAGTGGACTCCAGTGGCACCCCGCGGGCCTCGAGCGGCCTCCAGTGTCTCCTCAAGTGGCACCCCCCGCGGGCCTCCAATAGCCTCCAGTGGCCCCCAGTGGCCTCCAGTGGGACGAGCAAACTGCTGCGGACCACTCGAGGCTCAAGAATGCCAGACTGCGTGAAAAAAAAAGGCTCCCAAGATCGTCTTCTGAATCGACCTTTTGGTTCCTCGCCAGCGAGGCCCTTCTTGGGGGCGCCCTGGGCACCTTGGTAACATGATCGACCCACGAACCCGGAAAGGAATACAGAAATGTAAGGCATGGTAACGTTTTAAAAACCCCCGATTGGGCGACGGGCAAATGCAATGCTGAATGCATCGATCTTGATGTACGTGCCGAGGGCTGTGCTGTGCTGGGCCGTGCTGAACTGCGATGTGCCATGCCGCGATTGTGCTCTATATCTAGCGTTGTGGATCGAGTCCTCCCTGGCATCCGAGTCCTGACCGAACTGATCTGGATCTTAAGCTCGAGCTGCCCGAGCAGATGGTAGCTGTCCCAAAACTAATCGAAAGAGGGGACATGCCAGGAGGACGCGCCGCGGAACGTCCCAAGGGACGCGCTAGGCGACGTGCCAGGGGACGTGCCATGGGGACGCACTGCTGGATGTGCCAAAAGGACGCGCTACGGAACGTGCCAATGCACGTGCCACGGGACGTGCCAGGTGGACTCGCCACGGAACGCGCCAAAGAACGTGCCAAAGTGCAATGCTGAATGTATCGATCTTGATGTACCGTGCCGAGGGCTGTGCTGTGCTGGGCCGTGCTGAACTGCGATGTGCCATGCCGCGATTGTGCTCTACATAGCGTTGTGGATCGAGTCCTCCCTGGCATCCGAGTCCTGACCGAACTGATCTGGATCTCAAGCTCGAGCTGCCTGAGCAGATGGTAGCTGCCCCAAAACTAATCGACAGAGGGGACATGCTAGGAGGACGCGCCGCGGAACGTCCCAAGGGACGCGCCAGCCGACGTGCCAGGCGACCCTCCGTGGGCACGCACCGCGGGACGTGTCAAGGGGACGCGCTACGGAACGTGCCAATGGACGTGCACCGCGCGACTTGCAAGGGGGACTCGCCACGGGACGCTCCGCGGAACGTGCCAGGCAACATGCCAGGCTGCAATGCTAAGTGTATCGATATTAATGTACCGTGCCGAGGGCTTGCTGTGCCTGGGCGACCTGGACACGTGAAAAAAACGTTTTGCTCAAAACGTTCTCCGATGTGCCATGCCGCGATTGTGCTCTATATATAGCGTTGTGGGTCGAGTCCTCCCTGGCATCCGAGTCCTGACCGAACTGATCTGGATCTTAAGCTCGAGCTGCCTGAGCAGATGGTAGCTGCCCCAGAACTAATCGACAGAGGGGACATGCCAGGAGGACGCGCTGCGGAACGTCCCAAGGGACGCGCCAGGCGGCGTGCCAAGGGACGTGCCATGCGGACGCACTGCGGGACGTGCCAAAAGGACGCGCTACGGAACGTGCCAATGGACGTGCCACGGGACGTGCCAAGTGGACTCGCCACGGAACGCGCCAAGGAAATCGCCCAAAGTCGCCCCGAGAGAATCCCAACAGGGCCCCAAGCGACGATGATTTAGACCCCGACGGGGCGATGCTCCACCTCGTTTGATCGATGTCCTTGACGATGGCCCCAAGAAGAGGGCCATCAAGGCTCCCAAAAGAGACCCAAGCGAGCCCTAAAGGCGTCCAAAGTAGCCCCAACAGCGGCCAAGGATGACCCCAGCAGTACTCAAAGGGGCCCCCAACATCGAACTACCCACGGCAGCGCTGTTTGTTGACTCCTTGGTCTGTACAAACTGTTCCCGAGCTTCAGTTCGGCTGCTTCCCCATTTGTCCCGCTGCATGCTCATACACTTCCCTGATCGAGGCACCTCGCCTGGACATCGTTTATACTTACTGGTTGGAGCACACGAAGCGTGAATGATGGAAGCTAGAGCTGGGCTGGCCAAGCATGCGCGGCGAGGTGGAAAAGGGGACAGCACGCGACTGCAACTGACTGCGCACTGCGGACAAAGGATGGTCGGGTAAACAACCTGTTCATGACCTCCCTACTGCTCCTACGGATGCCGCTGATGTACCTTCTTGCCGTTTATCCTCCAAGGTTTCCCGACTCCACAACAAAGAGGCGAATCACCCCAACGGCGCTCCAACTCGTCATAGGCGACGTGAAACGGCCTCTGGAAGATCGACGTCTTGACCGACGGCGGGTCCTCCGTCACGGGGCCTGTGCGCCAAGCGCGCGTTGTCTGAACGCCCGCGAGCAAATCGAAAGAAACAGCTGATCGCAAGAGTGAGCGCACGAGACATGAGAACCCAGCGCGTGCCTGTGAGAATCCCTCCTCGGACGACAGACTCTTGACTTGCAGACGCGGTCTCTGCGAAATGGGAACGCTGAGGCGTAACCGCGACTCGCCAACAAGTATCGGCCGCACCCCAGCTTACATTGATCGGGGGACTTTGGAGGAACGGAGTGCCAACGCACCCCCTCACTGGACTGGAACGGCGCAACTATCACGACATATGATGGCATTGTCTCCACTATGAGCAGCGCCTAGGCTGACGTCTATCATGATCAGCACCGTCATCATCAACAACAACAACATAATCACTACCAGCGGTGCTGATACGGCAACTGCGATGACCATAGAGATCGCTGCTACTACCCTTACCCTTACTCCTACTCCTACTACGATTACGACTACGACTACGACTACCGACCACGACTACGACTGCGACTACGACCACGACCACGACTACGACTACGACTACGGCTATGCTACTACGGCTACACCTACCACTACTACTTCTACGCCTACTAAGGCTGATCGTACTCTGTTTGCCGGACCGGTTTGGCGTAAACAAGGAAGGGCGGGTAGTGCGATTGCTGTGGGTTGGACGCGCGTCCAATTAAAAAGAGAGAACAGACTGAAACCAAAGGATGCAAACCATACAGAAAATATATAGAACACGTAAGGGCAACACCAAGATAACAAACAAAACATAACGACACCATATGCACAACATATACAGATCACAGACATAACATATAAAAAATGAAGAGCACATATCGCAAATCCATGTAACACCGCGCACAAACATACATACATACACATACATATATATACACACATACATATATCTGCACTTATACTCTATCTATATATAAATATATCGTGCACCACACATGTACAGTACATACACAAGCCAAACACAACATGGTTTACACAATCTGCACGACACATATCCGACAAACATACAGAACGGATCAGACACATTTACAACATATGCACAACACATATCCAAACCATATACACAACAAACACATCGCAGGCACAACGCAGTCACACCAAACAAAACGTATACACAACATATACGAAACATGTACACGACAAGGACGACAAGACACACAAAACAAACAACAACACATAACCAACACTGTATACAACACCTACAAGAGAAACTGTACGACGCAAATGAAGAATGTTAAAAACATACACAGCGCCGACACACCATAAATACAGACTGTATGAATAGAACGCATACATGAGACATGCACAATTCAGAAACACAACACATACAACACATATGAAACGCAATTGCAAAATGTAGGCGAAACGTGTACAACACATCTACACGAATCTTGTATATATACAAACAACGTATCCACAACGCTTACACGGCAAATGAACACATACGCACACATGCGCAACAACATATAGAGAATACGAGCGACACGTAAATAAACCAGGCACGAACTACATGAAACAACCATGCAAGCCATGCAACATATACACAACACAGAACCGAAACATGCACACAAGATGTGCGACACATGAGCAAAAACGATGCCTAGCATATACATTACAGACGCAGCAATATGCAACCCATATACAAAACTATGCAAAAACACGATACCCGAACATGTACAAACCAATGGCCAAACATATACACGACATACTCAGAGCATGCCCAAATACCTATACAACGCGCAAGCACAACGCATAAAACATCAACTACGAACCAGACACAGAGCAATGAACACGTACAAAAGGACAGACAACGCGTATACAAAATGAGGACCAAACATATATATATTTATATATATAACATACAGAAAGCGGTGCAAAGAGCAGAAGCAACACATACGCGAAACACATACAAACAACATACATAACACAGACTGAACATACGCGATACGAATACAACACATATACCAAACAAGTACGGAACGTATACAACACGTGTACACATCATATCCGGAACGCACACATAACGTGAACAACATGCACACCCAAAACAATCAAACAAGATACAAAGCGTATACGAAGCAAATGCCAAATACGCAAAATACATTTACAAACCACGTAAAGGAAATACGCCAAACATAACATACACAAAACATATACACCAACGCCACAGAACACCAACACCTTCACAAACGATACGCAAAACGAATACAAACGTAACATACACAAACACAGATTCACGACATGCCCGAGGCATAAAACACCGATGCACAGAAAATCCACAAAACAAGCGCACCACTTATATATTGCATTCTACAAAACAGACACACAGCGCATATTCAACATATACATTGCATATACACAATATATATATATATATATACAAAGCGCATTTAATAATATACCTAACATATACAAGGCCCATACAAAAAAAGACAAAACTCACAACACGCGCAAGGCATAGACACAAACACTGACACATCACATACCGAGCACATGCAGAACATATACACGGCGCAGACACACATACACAAAACATGTACACATTACCCGCGCAACACATACGAATAATATGTAATGTTCCCACAAAACGTATACAAACCATCTGCAATATAGAAACAATACATGCTCATATCAAATACAACACCAATGGTGTACGTACCCCAAAAATATACGAAACATTTCTAGCACATATGCGAACCAGGTACAACAACTATACAGCACATACGTGCAATATCTATATATTCATATGTATATATATATACATTATACATATATATACATGACATATAGATGTAGATGCTTATACAACATATACATACAGGCAACACCTATACACGACATGTACACAACTTGGGCAAACTACGCACAAAACATTCACAGAACGTATGAGCAACAAAAAACACATGACATACACTTTCACCACAAAGCATGAAATCACACCATGTCCATGCATATGCAAACCATGCACACAACATGCACAACAAAAAATGCACATATACACAAACATATTCTCCAACACATCAAATACAAATAGTCTTACAAAGTGCATGCGCAAAGCGTGCACAACGTACTTACACACGTATGCGCAACACCTACACAACACGCGTACACAATATATACAGAATATGTACAAGCATAACGAATGAGTTACTACAACAAAGCGCAACACATATACAACACATCCGGAAACACATCTACAGCACATATGCAAAGCATGTACAAACCAGAAACACAACATATACACCACTATACAAAACACATACAACTCATATACGAGTCAGACGCAACACATACGCATACTACACGGAAACACGGGCCAACAAACACAATACGAACTACACAACATGCACACTCCATGCGCACACCATATACAAACTATGTACAAACCATACACAACTATATAGACATCTTTGTATATATATATATATATAGATTTGTATACTAGAACCACGCGCGCGCTACGCGCGCGCTTAGGTTATAGTACACGTTTGAGGCACCGTCGGCGGGCAATTGGTGGACTCCATGACGCATGTGTGCTATGGGTCGGAGGCCCGCTCGTTGGATGTTGTGTGCACTCTGCGGGGATCATATCTTCTCCTATCCAGGTCCTGCTTTGTGGCACTTAATGGCTTTTAATGGCTCTGAGTGGCTCCTCCTCCGTGCGCGCACCCAGGTGCGAAAGGGAATGCCTGCATGGACTTATGCAAAAGGGACATGGGACGGGAGGGTGTATTGCAGCATCGCTGATGCATCCTGGGTTCTCCCTTGTCCTCCTCATCCTCATCGACCCCCCCGGCGCTGGCGGCGCCGACGCCGTCGCCGTCGCTTGCGGGCCCCGTCCGTCTGTCCTACTGCTCCTCTCCAAACCCTCGTTCCCTAACCTCCCGATCATGTTCCCGGACCCCCGTCCCTTCCCCCCAGAGCACCGCAGCAAAGGGAAAACGTTCCGAAACGGTGAGAAATCATGTTCCCGGAAAGCGTTCAAGAATATGAATCGTACGTCGTCCAAGGCGCCTCGGAAGGCGCAGAATACTCCTCCAAGGCGCGGAATCATGTTCCCGGACCGCCTTCTGGGAACATGATGGGGACGACCTCCTGAGGGCCTCCAGTGGGCCTCTTGGGGGCCTCTCGGAGGCCTGTGGGGCTCTCCTGGAGGCGTCTTGGGGCGCGCTCAGGGCCATTTTGGGGCATCTTGGGGGCCTCTGGGGGCCTTCGGGGAGGCTCTTGGGGGCCTCTTTGGGGCCTCTTGGGGCCTCGCGGGGCCCTCTTGGGGACCGCTGGGCTCGCTTAGGCAGTCTTGAAGCCCTGTCGGGGCACTCCTGGAACCGTCTTGGGCGGCTTCTGGGCCATCTTGGGGCTCTCCTGGGCCGTATTGGGACGATTTTGGGGGTCTCTTGGGCCGTCTTGGGGCGGTCTTGGGGGCCTCTTCGGCCGTCTTGGAGCGGTTTTGGGAGACTCTTGGACGGCCTTGGAGCGTCGGAACCTCGAAAAAGCGAGAAGGCCAAAAACTTTGAAAAATTACCCTGTGACGTACCCAACCCATCTGTATCAATGGAAACGAGGAGTTGGCCGAAACTTGTATGGACAATCAACTTGATGCTTAAGCTACTTGTGAGGTGTCACTGTGCTGGGCCCCGCAAGCAGGCCTCGAAAGTGGCGACAGTTTCACAGATCGCAACCCCCCAAGGATGGCGAGGTCCCATTTGAATCTGCGTGTGGCGTCACTGTGCTGGGCCCCCCAGCAGGCCTCGAAAGTGGCGACAGTTTCACAGATCGCAGCCCCCCAGGGATGGCGAGGTCTAATTTGGGTCCGCCGTGGGTACCCACTGTGCTGGGCCCCCCAGCAGGCCTCGAAAGTGGCGACAGTTTCACAGATCGCATCCCCCCAGGGATGGCGAGGTCCCATTTGAATCCGCCGCGGGTGCAGACTGTGCTGGGCCCCCCAGCAGGCCTCGAAAGTGGCGACAGTTTCACA